CTTAGATGTGAAAAAGGACTTCACCAGTAAGGACTCAATGCGAATTTATTGTCATTTCTGATCTTCCTCATCTACTTCCTTTTTGTGATAAGGTCCCTATCATCCTGTTAACCACTCAAGAATACTCAAATTCTATAGTAATAATGCTACTAGTATTTATATCCTCTACTAAATTCTCATTGAGAAGATCATTTCTCCATATTCCTTTTTTTTTCTTGCTCTGGGCTAATAAAATAATGTTCTGATTGTGTCCTTCATTCTTTTTTATGCTTTCCCTAGTCCAGTTTGCACATTCCACCATCAGAGTTCAGTGTAAAATTCTGGTCAAGTCAATCATATTCTTAAAAACAATCATTCCATTATCTGAGCAGCCATTAAATGGAAAGAAACTATATTTATCTATGGGCAAGAAGGAAAGGAAGGTCGGCCTCCCATTTCTTTGCATTTAGTTAAATAGTCTGCTCCTTATCCACATCATTCTGTTGGGGTAAGTCATACATTTGTCTTCCTTTGCTTATATTTCTATACATTGCCAAATTTTGGAATTGGAGTTAGTACAAGAAAGAAGAAAAGGAAAAGAGATTAAATGAGAGTAGAAGAGGCGGGGATTAGAGAGAACCTATTAGACCAGATTGGCCCACAATAATTACTACTTATCATTATGGAAATTGAAGTGTTGATGGTCATTTCCACACTGATAATGAAACCAGCGTGGAAGACAAGCTGGTCCATCAGAGACTCTGAAGAAAAGGAGGTTGGCGGGGACCAGAACAAGCAAGCTCAGCTTTGGGAGGGGAAAAGGGGAGCAGTTCTCTCATATTCAAAGGTAGGATTTAACGATGGATAATATGATAGGGATATTGATCAGTGAGAGAAATGGAAGACAAGAAAGTCTGTGAGGGGAGAAGGAGAAAAGAGGTGATAAGAATAAGAGAGATAACAATTCTCCAACTTCACTCCCTAGTGCTATTAGTTTTGTCATTATTTCTATAAAGAATAATATGTAACATTTTTTAGGAAGTGTGTTATGGTTTCATATTACTGTCATGCAAAAGAAGCTTTGATGACATGTTAATGTAGAACACTATATATGGAAATTTTTTCATTGATTCCACTGTCAAATTATATATATATATATATATATATATATATTTGTTTTGCTTTGCTCTGTTTTGTTTTGTTTTCTTGCTATGAAGTTCAGGATGGCCTTGAGCTCACTTTGTAGCCCAGACTAACTAGTCTCAAACTCACAACTATCCTCCTGCCTTAGCTTCCCAAGTACTGGAATTACAAGTGTGTAGATATTTATTTGGCATTTAAAAATATTTTCCTCGTTGTGAGTAGGAATCAGTTAAAAACATGACTTACTTTACACAGGCGATGTATAGCCCATCTCATTCATAATGAGTTAACCTTACTTTCACAAGAGCTGGAATGTGTTGCTATGATATGAAAAGCAAAAGTTCTTTTAAATGCAAATTTGATCATTTTTATAGCTATTCCAAAGATCTCTACCTTGAAAGTTTTTCCTTGCCTATTGGCTTATTTGGGGAGAATATGAAACAAAGTTGTAAGTTTACTTAGATGTCAGTTTTAAAAATAACAGCAATATAATAAAATTTTGTTCGGTCACATAGTTTATGATAGTTAATACTCTGTATGGCCACACATATACCATGTGTTAAATCTCTCATACATTGTTCCATGAAACTCATTACTTTTTTGTGAAATCATGCTTTACATAAAGCCACATTTTTTCTTAAAATCTTTTTTATTTAGATATTTTCTTATGTTTCTTAGCTAGTTGTGCATCCCACGACTCCACTACTGTCATTCAAGATGTCATGGGGGTGATGACCATCAACACTGCAGCCCACAGAATTAGGATGTCCCTATGATCTCTTCAATAGTTCCAGAAGGTTCTCTGGCTAAAAATTGGGGCTGCATCTGTCAAGTTGTGTTGACAATCTCATTAAGTGATATTTCAACTATGCTTCCTTTTTTTGTGGGACAGAAAAGAAAAATAACAAAGATTTTGTCACAGTTCAAGGCCAGAAGGCCACACAGCACCATCCTCCACCTAATTCTAGACTGTTGTCATGCTTTGAGCACAGTGTCATCTACATAACGAACAACTCTGTGTCCTTACCTGGGGTCACGATCAGCTCACCACTGGATTGAACCAGTCAGTAGGAGTGGTCAGTAAAGCATTAACATTCTTAAAGAGAAAACATGATTCAGGTCTTCCTTCATTTGTGTGACTGTTTTCTGCTCTATCAGTATGATAAAAATATTTTTCAAACCTAGTCAGTGCAAGGAAAGTCAATATTTGTTATTTTAAACAATGAAAACAATACAGAAAATTTCTATTCTATCTGCAAAATTCTATTCAATTTCATTCAGATTAGTTTGTGGCTGGACAGTTTATGGGTAGGACTGACTATCCTCCACCCAGATTAGCCCCACCAGTTTACACTCATCTGAATTATATCTCATGTTATTCTGATTGTATCAGGCATCATTCTGCACATGACATTCCTTTGGCTACAGTGAACTAACACAGGAATGGGCAGGCACATAACTGGGGCAAGTTCCAGAATGAGCAGGAATTTTTTCCATAGTTAAAGTCAAAAGGAAGATGAGTTATTTCTTTTAGACTGTAACATTGACAAACTGGAAACTTAGAATCTCAGTCATTACATGGAAAAGACAAGAGAAACTCAAAAGTAAACTGCAATAAAGTCCTGAAAGAGTAATTTCTGAAGCTCAGCATATTTCTGGGATTTTTAGGTACTTGATTCCATAGACTTGATGTGCTATTTTAGCCAGTTTGAGACAGACTTTTTAGGTCTTATAGCGGAGAAATTTTACTTGTCACACCAAGACTGTGAAATTCAAACACAAAATCTGGCACATGTCTTCTTATTTCTTTCTGTGTATCACCACTCTGTAGCCCAGCACTGACTGGTTGATCACTTAGTGGTGACAAAGATATTCTGTACCTACCATGACCCGTGTAGTAGCCAGTAGCTTGATGTGTCTACCAAATACTTGAAATATGACTAGTGTAGTGGAAGAATTGAATTTTTAGTGTAGTTTAACCAGTTTTAATGTCAGTGCCCTCATATGATGGTGACTACCACACTGGGCAGTACAACTTTAACCTTAAGAAATTTCCCTTAAATATAACTCAGTCTGTCCACTCTTCTTTTCTCACATTGTTTTTCCACCTCGTGTGTCTTATTCTTTCTATCTATCCTTGCAAATTTTCCTAGTGACTTTTCTTTTGGTGCTGAAGCAAAATACTTGACACACAAAATTAACAAAAGAAAGCTTTATTTAACTCACAATTTGTGGAAGTTTCAGTCCATACTGAGTTGTCTCCAAGGCAGAATGGCACATAATGGAGGGGTGACAGATCACAGTGGCAGAATACAGCAAAAATGATTAGAGCAAAAAGGCAAGAACAAGTCTCCTTTCCTCTTGTGTATTGTGTGCAAGCTACCTGCCTGGGGCGGGTATAGCACTCACCATCTCCAAGCCCTCCTCCTGCACCAGTTCAGGATGTTTACAAAGTGAGGACCCTGGCCCCTGCTGAATCAGTTAAGCTTCTAAACTACTCAAGTTGACATAATGAACAACATCCTAGAGCTGCAAGGACATGTTCTTCACACAGCAGGATGTAGAACTGCCGAGTCAGTTAAGCTTCTGGACTTCTCAAGTTGACTCAAGGTACCAACCATAACATAAACTAAATCCAAATGCCTCCGGTTCTAGGAAGTTTTCATTGATCACACTACCCAGAACTGTGAACTTCCCCAGTTCTTTACTTTTATTTTTTAACCCCTGGTAATGGAAAGAATGTTTTGTCAAAACTAAAAAAGATACCAATATTTAGTTTTTTTAAATGGATAAATATGTCTACATTTAATATATTAGGGAATAAATTCTGATAATCCCTAACTCAATTCTCAGGCATGCTACTTTCTTTCAAGTCATGCCATTATTAGTGTTAATTTTCCTTCTACACACATAGACCATTGCTATTTTTCCATCTCTTTTTTCTTAGTCCACCATACATATTACTTTCATAATAATGTGCCCAAATATGTCACCCTCACACCCACTTAAAAAAAAAACTGAGGAATTTTCATTGCCAACTGAATAGAATTAAGTCCTTAAAAGGATATTGAAGCCTTTCTGGCCAGCAAAACTTCCAAGCCTATGGTCTTACTACAGCTAGCTTCTACTCTTTACCATCTCTGACCATAGCCCACAAAGTTTAAGAATCCTTTCTCTCTCAGATCAAATGCTACCTTTTCAATCTCAGATAATAGAGATAACCTCAGGTGAGTTTTTAAAAAAACAGTAAAAATGGTGTAAATAGGCCTTAATAAGTTTGAAGAGACAGAAATGCTTAGTTATGAAAAATAAATATTTAACAACTCGAAGAGCTGCTATGAAAGAGGGTCTGGGAATTGGAAGGAAATATTTCAAGCCAAAGCAACTAAGAGATAGACCACGAGTTATAGCCTTTCAGATAGGTGTTACCTCTCTTAACCAATAAGAAAATGGAGACTAAGAGAGTTTATATAATTCACTCCAAATATTGCACCTAATGACGTGGATGAGGAAGCATACAAACCTAGTTCCACCTGACTTCAGAATCACCCAGTAAGTTGCCCATGAGCCACTCATCTACACAGTGTAAAAGCAAAGTTTGAGGTACTTTGGAGGCCAAGAAAATGTCTAGGTAGGTAAGACGGAGAGGAATGAACTCATCTCTGAACAGAGTTTCTACCCTGAGACTGTCACCCTCTCAATGCCACGGGATTGTATACTTCTGAGTAGTTTTAGCGCATGCAGAGAGAGATGAGTCCAACAGGACATGTAAGATGGAAGCAGCAGGATGAGCAAAACTGAAAACTATGACGGCTCCCATAAATTCATGATGTTCTGCCATACATTAAACTCTCTACATTTCATATGCTTTAGGAAAGGGAAAGTCAACAGCCATATTTGCCGATGTGGAAATCAGGCTTCAGAGAGATGTTAATGGGACCCACCATGAGCCCCCTGATAGACCACCTGCAGATGACGAAGACCTCCTGATTGCTAGGTGGGTAAAACATCTCCCCATTTACCTTCCTCAGTCTCTGATGGTGTCCAACACAGCAGAACAGCTCCCCCTTCCCCAGGCCAACGTTGTTTCCTTTAGCATCTAATAGCATCTTTCTTCATTTTATTTTCCTTTAGGCAGCCTTTTTGAAACTCCTCCTGCAGTCCCTTCTTGACTTGCATTGTCCTTAAGCACCTGCCTGTGTGTTATTTTCTTCTAATTCTACCCTTGATTTTGGGAAACTCTCAACTGAGTCATGACTTTGTTTTCCAGATGTACAATGGTGACCTCCAACCGTGTCTCAAGTAAAAAACCCTCTCTCCTGAGCTTTTCTATTCAGTCACATAAAGTAATTATTTCCGTGATTCAGTAATCATTTCTGGTTTAAATACTTCTTGAGCACCTTAAATTCAACATGCCAATACTGAACCCATAATCTTTCCCCTGCACTAAACTCTCTTTATCCTCTTTTTTAATGCTAGATAATATATCACAATCACTCTTCCATTCACATTTGACTTCTCCCTTGCCTTCACACTAAAATTTCACCTTTCACCAAGACTTGTCCACATGACTGTCTAAGGGTCATCCTAGCCTAGTTGTTCTCTGTGAAAGTGGCAATGCTTCCTAGTGACTCTTTGGTAATTTTATAGAAGCTTTGCTCCATTAATGCTGGAAAATCCATATTAAAATACATTTTATATTATTTTAATTCTTATTTAAATTATAGTTAAACATTTTACAGATTTTTGAAATTATGTGTGTTAGCAGAATATATAAGCTAATTTTAGCAGGCTAAAAGTACAAAATATACATCAAAACTATACTATTGAGGCTGAGAAGCATTTAAAAATTTATAGCCTAATTGATCCACTCATCTGTAAGATCACTGGTTCCTTAAATCAACACCATCATAGACATTATTATGATTATTACTAATATAATAGTCTCTTAAATATTCTATTTATTTTGTCTGTGGTTTCACACTCATTTTAAACTACACATTTAAGAATCTACAAAAAGAAATTTGGTCATGACATTTCTCTACTGGAAACCCTTTCATATTACTCTTAGAAAAGAAGGGGAAAAGGAAAGAAAGAAAAAGGAAAAATATTAAAGAAAAAGAGCCAGACACTTAAAACTGCCTTATGGTTTGTGTCTAGATATTCCCCCAAAGCCTCATGCACTTTTAGAAGGAATTTTTTAAGAGGCAGCTGAATCAAGAGTTTGTGATGAATTCACGGTTCAATGCTACAATTAAGGGTGATTGGATAAAGGTGGGGGAATTAAAGGTGGGTGATTGCTGGACCAGTCCCCTGAATGGATTGGCACCATTCAAAACCCTGCAGAAGGATGAGATAAGAAAAGAGTCTTGTCTCTCCCTTCCCTGGCTTGATTTTGCTGTCTCCTCCTTGCCATGAACTGTTTCTCTTCTACAAGGCCTGTCTCCTAAGCCACTGTGCCTTGGAGCCAGCTGATATGGACTGAGATTTCTACAAACTTTGAGCTACATAAACCTTTCCTTCTTTAACTTTGGGTGTCAGATGTTTTGTCTCAGCAATGAGAGAAATGTAACTAACAGAAATAGCATGCAAAATTTGTGATGAGAAAACCCTGAATATTTTTCAAGTTTTGTGCATTCTACTTGGTGATACTTTAATGTCCTGAGAGCTGTCAACTATTTGTCTTATCTTTCAGATTTGAGCACAGTAAACATGTCACAGTAAACAAGCCTTCCTTCATGAGCCAGTAACCTTATTACAATAGTGATGACCTGGTACCACAGATCCTTGATGAGTTTTCTCATTTCCCCCATGAAACCTCAGGTTTCTTGGCACTGTGGACTGACGGTTCAGCCTCCTGCTGCGTTGCATGCATAGAGGGTCCTGGTGTCTTGTTGGTTAGTTCCCAACAATACTTGAATAATGAATGAATGAGAAAACAAACATGTCATCAATGACTGGGTGCTCATATTTCAGACTAAAACTAGTTCAATGCACTGGAAATGAGTAAAGTCCCGAACTCTTCTAACAGTAGATCAACATTGGCTAATTAAAATGTTCACACCTTAGTTTATTTTGGCATTGTTATTATTAGATTTTTTTCCTTTTAATAATTTATAAAATGAGGTTAATTAACCTCACCTGACCTACATTTCAGGGTAAGGCAGTAATAAGGACTGTGTGAGCTCTCACATGAGAATGGGCCTGAAGACTGGCACTTACTGTTGCTAAATTCTTTTGAGCTATTGCTTTGAGAGACAAAGAAAACACAATGCCTGATGTAGAACAAAAATATTTAGAGTTTGCTTTGTACTTTAAATTTGTGCTCAGATTCTGCATTATTCTGAGCAGAAGCTGCTCAGAGCTCAGTGGTAAACAGCGTGCAAAGGATGCTGGGCAGGAGCAAAGGCCCTGGCCTGGCCATAGTCATCCACACACTCACCTCCCTGCTATGTTGGTCATATATCAGGGTGTGCACCCAGCCGTGGCCTCAGAAAGAGCACAGCGCTCAAAGATTGAAGGGCTACAAAAGCGATACAAGACACTAAAACATAGATGAATGAAGGAGTAAAGAATAAAACAGAGTGAGAAACTAAAAGACAGACTTGTTGGAAATGGGGAAAGCACTTGAGGAAAGGGCAGAGCAGAAGGGAGGGCAGGATGTAATGGAACTGAAAGTGATTTAGATATGCTAGATGCATGTTCCAATTCCCCAAAACAAATACAGGTGTGAAGTATTACAAACGTATATTAGTAAAAATAAATTTTTTAAAAACCACCTCTTAACCAGGTGTGGTAATCCATGCCTATAATCGCAGAACTCTGAGGGGCTGAGGCAGGAAGTTCAAGCCTAGCCTAGGTGATTTAGCAAGAACCTAGTATATACTAGTTAGGCTAATACACACACACACACACACACACACACACACACACACACTATATTTTAAGGCAAAGGTCTTGGATTCAATCTCTGACAACCTGGTGGGGGGTGAGAAGAGAAAGGGAAAAGAGAGGAGAGGAGAGGAGAGGAGGGGAGAGGAGGGGAGAGGAGAGGAGAAAAAGAAGAGAACAGAAGAGAAGAGAAGAGAAGAGAAGGGAAGGGAAGGGAAGGGAAGGGAAGGGAAGGGAAGCAATTTCTTTATCAAAATGCCTGGTCATTACCTCATTCAGTTTTCTTATTGGAAGTGCAAAACTTTGGGCACAGGAGCGGCCAAAAGAAGTGTTCAGTCTCACTTAGCCAGTTGTGTAACTGGTGTGCAAATGGGAGCTCCCACCACCACCATGGCCACCCACAAGAGTACTGGGCACCTTCTTCCTTTCCCTTTATTAGGATCTAATTTACACAGAGTAAAATATCAAGATATGTTTTATACACATATAAAAGAGAGTTTATATGTTTTATACACATATAAAAGAGAGTTTAAAATTCTCATTTAACTATGAAGTTCATTGTTTTATAAAACCCAGAAAAGTAACAATGACAATAATTTTGCTGTAAAATGTCCATTGTCCCTTCAAAAAATTCCCTCGTTTCCTTTCTCCTAGCTCATCACTTAGCGAGCACTGATCTGCTCCCAGGCCCTTCTGTAATTCTGCATTTTTCAGAACATACTGAAGATGAAGCTAGAACTGTCTGGGAGCTGAATTCTGGATCCGGGTCCTGTCACTTAGCGTGATGTTGAGAAGGTCACCATGTGGTTGTGTGTGTCAATGGTCCAGTCTTAATGGTGCTGGGGAGTATTTTGTTTCATGGGTTAATCATAGTTTGCTAGTTAGTTTGTTTTGCCATTCATCAAGGAGAGGACATCTGGATTCTTTTCATTTGGGGACTACTCACAGCAAATTTAGTATAAATATAAAAATACATTTGTCATGAGGATGAAAGTATTGATTTAACGTGGGTGTATGTGTGAGAATGAGAGTGAGATTGCTGGGTTACACAATTCAAGTACATACTCAATTTTATATGAAACTGTCAGTTGCTTTTCTGTTTTACATTTCCACCAAGTTATGAGGGTTTCAGTTTTTCTATTTGCTATCATTTATGGTTTTTATTTCTTTTAATTTAATCTATTCTGATGGATAAAGATATCTCATTATTGATAGATCTGTGGAGGGGAGGAAGAGGACGAGGAGTGGCGGTGGTGGCTGAAAAGATAAGAAGTATAAAATATAAGTAACCTTTATTTCGGGAATGTGGGGAGAGACATCCCCAACCCCCTGGGGCATGGCATCTCCACCCCGGGGCCAGCGATCTCTCTTCGGAACACATGGAGTGAGGCACATAAGTAGCCTCGGTCTGGGGTAGACCCTAAGGGGCATTAGAGATGCACAGGTAGCCCATTGGTCTTAGTTTGGCACCAGAGGTAATTTCTAAGGGTGGGGGGAGATAGGAGCTCCTTGGCTTTACCGGCTACTGTATCCGGCCTGGGCCAACAAACCTTTCATATCCCGTCTTATGATTATTAGGAAAAGGGGCAAAGATTTTTCTCTTTAACTACTTCCTGCTGGCTGAGGGCATTGTACTGAGGTCTAGGGGAGTCGACGGGATGATGGTTGATGTCTAGGTAGAAGCTGGTGCCAGGAGTTTTAGCCAGGACAACTTCACTGGTGAATGCATGTATGTTAGACTGAAAAAACAAAGAGACAAGATGTTATGAGGAGACATGGCGCTGTCATATTTATGGACCCAAGTGAGGTAGAGGGAAAGGTATCTTTGATTTAGACATGCTATTTTATCAGGATGACATTGAGGTAGGAACATTTTTATGGCAAGGCAGAATTCTGAAAAATTAAACGTGGGATTAGGAGGAGTGAAGTTATGAGAGGTGCTTATTCCCCCATATGAAAGCATAAAAGTTAAAAGGTAGGTAGGTAAGGCTTGTCTCCGGTATATATGATGTTGGAGTCTGTAGGCAATCCTGTTAAAGAGTCCTACTATAAAAATGATCATTAATAGAATGTAAGAAATTAAGAACCAAACTGGATAACAAAACA